GAAATGCTCTTTTCAAATGTTCAAATGCAAAATGGGCTGTTTCTGAAGTGCAACTCCTCCAAAATGCTGGAAAAGATCTGTTTTGAACCCTGAAGCCATTAATTTAGGATTCAGAACGGTTTGCATCTGAACATTTTGCACACCCTTTTTAAAAAGTTATCTCTCCCTTCCTTTACAGTTCCCCCCCCTCCAATAGAAACCTTGTTCCTTACAAGTGGCTAGTTCTGTTCATGCACGTCACTTTCATGGCATGAAGAGGGGATATAAACAAGAAAAAGGGGAAGAGGAGAAAGCATGTTTTTTTTTAGATGTTAGGCACACAACATACAGGTCTTCAGATCCAGCCCAGCATGGTTGGAGATGGAACTCAATAGAATCAGGAGGGCTGTGTTTTGCTATGATCTTGCTTTAAATCACAAGCTATAAACTCCCACAATCCCTTGCCACATTTTGAATGAGATGTTGACCTCTACAACATCTTGAGAGCTCTCCTTTGCCTAAGGAGGTTGAGATGGGGATGTATTTTGCTTTTCTGAAGACAATTTTATGGATTAGCCACAAGGCCCAATCAATTTGGCCATCTTAGGGATATGCAGTTGTTTCATGAACAAGCTTGGGTCTGGTCTATAGCACAATGGCACCCGTGGGAAGAAGTCAAAAGGAGCAAGATGATGGGTAGGGCCTTTTATTGAGATGCCACAACCACTATCCAACCTCTTTTGACCCCTTTGTTGCTACAGTGACCATTATTATAAGCACACTTTGTTCCCCCAAGGAAACCCCATTCTATAACAAAATTAAATATCAATTTCAGTGCAGTTAAAATTACTCTGTGAATCAACCTATGGGATTTAAGGAATTGCTATACTTGTCGATGTAAAGCAAGATCTTCTAATTCAGGGGTCTCTAAAGTTGGCAACTTTTAAGAGTAGTGGACTTCAACTCCCAGAATTCTTCAGCCAGCATAGCAGCTGAATTCCACAAGTCTTGAAGTTGCCAAGTTTGGAGACCCCTGCTCAAATGTGATATAATCTATTCGCCAAATAGATTTTCCTTCTCCCGTACACATTCTCTCCCCGCCCCGTCTAGAATTCCAACATGCCATTAATATTCAAGCAATGTCCTGTGGAATATCAATGCTCCACACTCACAAATCAAGAAGCACGCTTCGTTCCCCAATCAACCTTCATTTTAAAGCATTGTTGAAAAGACACATTCCTGAAACAAACAAAGGAATCGAATTTTACCTGAAAAGCGTTAAGTTTCTATTCCACAGCATCACACCTAGACTGAGCTTGACTGCATAATATGGAGTATAAAAATCTTGCTACTGGCAATTCTTCCCTTCTTCCTTTGCTGCTTACAATTCTATAACCACGTTTTTTTCTTGGGCTACATGCATTTAAATGAAGACAGCAAAGGCTGAAGTACTGCCTCGGGTGAGAAATGTATTTTTAGCAGCAAGTTAATGCTTAAAGGCGTCGTGGTAAACATTCTATTGCTTTTTAAATAGTTTTCCATGAGAAGCATATTTTCAGTATATTCACTGTGACTATTCACTTCTCTACAGTAAGGTAATGGTCACCTGTAGTTGCCACTTCCCTTACTGGAGAGGTTTGCAGGGGTGTCCACAGAGAGGGCAGAAAAAGAAAGAGACAGAGGTGGACGCACCGTCTGAAGCCACCATCTTGGTCTTTTTTTGACCCTTTTCCTCTGGTGGATGACCTTGCAAATTTGGAATGTACATGGATCAAGTCTCTATTGAACCTGACTGCAGTCCAAAAGATTTCTCATTAGAAGATGAACTTGACACACGATGGACAAGATTTATTCCGATTTGGAAAGTGCAATAGGTAAAGTGCCTGTTTAAATCCTTCCAGCAAAGTTTCGAAGCCAGTGCATTAGGAAAGCTAATTTTTCAGGGAAGCAGCAAAGCCTTAACTTGAACAACCCTCTTTTAAGTTCAAGCTGCTCCAGAAATACCTCTTTTCAACCTGGAGAATCAGAGAAATGCCCAATGGGATATATCGTCCTTATAAATGATTTGCAAATGGAAACCTACTTGATCAGAAAGCGTGAGAGCCTACTGTTCTTCCTGACATGCTTAGCTTTCTAGATGCGCCCTCAGCTTCCCAACAGACGAGATATATTCCAGGAACAATTTCTCCAAAATTAATTTCGGCCCCCAGCATAGTCAAGCATATTGGCCAGAGTCCTACAAAATCTTCCAATGAAATTTGCCTACGTTCCCTGCAGTAACCTCATGCTGAAGCTTTGTGAAAAATACAAAGTGGCAGGGCCCAGGCAGCTTCAAAAAATGTGGGTCTGTTGCCTGCCAAAACTTGCAAGAAAAGAGAAGAGATATCTCAGGAGAATCCATCAAGCCTACTTTGCTAACCTCTCCTCTTAAACTATAAGCTGACCCTGAGTTTTACGATTCATCTGAAAGGCTGCTTCAGTGGGACATTAGCTTTGACATTTCAAAGGTCGCAAATCAATGGATTCACAACAGACTAAGTTAGCTGAATTTGTGATTTAACAACCAACCTGACCATGAATCTGGAGGGGACCCGAGTTGAACTACTTAGTCTTGTTCCAACCCAGTGCACTGAGAGTTAAGGCAAGCCCTCACTAAATTGTTAAGCTATGAGTAGGCACGTCATGTATAGTTCAGTTTTCTGAAGTTATTTTTTTTTTGAAGCAGTGCCCAAGAAATGTAGGCAGGAGTTTAATGTAGGCAGGGGTTATGATATGGCATCTGACAATGACCGAAGTAATTTTCTTGTCCAACCCTTTCTCTTGATTCAGGTGGCATTCCTAAGCTAAATATTTTAACAGCATAGTGCCCTTTAGAACTGAGTCACTTTTGTACTGATGCTTTTCAACAGAGGGGTGGTTCTCCTAAAAATTAAGTTGTCCAGAAATCTGCAAAGTTATCAAATGGAACGATGAATTGCAAAACTATTTGATACCATTTGAAAAAGAAGAAGAATTTCCCTGGAATTTTTGTCCAGTACACAATTTGTTCAGGTTCTATCGCAGAGTAAGGCTCAAGGCTCTATTCTTAAGACAGCGGTCACCAGATTCCTTAAAGTGACCCAGGAAAATAATGGTATCTTAGATGGTTTCCTCAGCTCTTTTAGAGACCATGCAAGAGGTATAAGCATCCCAAGAAAATACAGACACGTCTTAAGCCCTTCTGTCCACTACCATGCAAGGGTCCTCTAGTGAAGACCTTCCACTTCAAACTGTCAGAGGCTACTCTTAAAATAAAAGAACTGCCCTTCTGTCCAAACAACACAAGACTTTCTTCTAGCAAAATAGTATGTCCACTGAGATATAACCAAACCTATCCCTACACATACCAATTTCTCATGCAAACACTTTGTTTGGGGCATGCCACATTCCATCATAAGGTTCTCTACTTACAGTCTCAAGAAGTGCAGTGCAAGACAATTTCACCACCCTTGGTGACAACTAGGACTAGGACTGGACCGTCTTCTCCCACCCAGTGTACTTATGACGTGTTGGATTATGTCTACAATCACTCTATAGCAAGCATGTTGCTGGAAAGCGATGAGAGCCATAGCTCAACACATCAGGGGACAGCGGGATGAGGAAGGTAAATCTTGAACATAATTTTTAATGCCACCTGTGGCAATTCTACAGCTAAGCTCTTGCCATATGTTAAAATGGAAAGTGGGAAGTGGAATTGTCCACAGGAAGTGAAACTCTCGCAATGCAAAGACAGCAGCACATTTCATACAAGTTGTTGGTGTTTCAAAGTCTCAGAAGAACAACTTGGACATCACTTCATCTTACCCCACCTGCTTACACCCTCTGGACTTTGCAGGGTAGCATAAGAAAAAAAAAGAGATAAGTATCTAATCTTTGGCAAAGTGCCTTTTTTTTTTGAGGAAGACCTGAAGGGGCAGCGGATCTAGTTGTTAGAAAAGATCAAGACTTAGCTCTTTGTTGGCTCAGTCCTCAGGCCAACGAAAATATTGTTTCTTCACTTAATTGGAAAGGCTGGGACAACATTCCAAGCGATCCACAATGAACTGCTCATTTGTTATAGGAGCCTCTTCTACTGTCAGAATGAGAAGAGGTCAACGTTGATTAAAAATAGTCATCTCAGGAACTCTCAGAAGTGAGAAAATTAAACCTTGGAGCACTGAGATTCAGAATCTAGATAGGACCCTGATATTTGCCTATGAGCTAGTACCATTCATATCAACGAGACCTACAGAATACACATTTTTTCTTTCTTCTCACTCTGTTTTAGGCTCCTCATTCTCATCTTCCCCTTAGGATAAGCAGAACTCTATCTACACTGACTGACTGTCAAAGTCACTTGAGCTACAGTACAAGAAAAGTTTGGTGTTTGCTGAAGTGCTCTTATGCTCACTTTCAAGAAAGCTTATGTTCATTCGATCTGTTGGGGCAGATCAATGGATCCACCATTCCATGATGAAATGGAGCTTTTATACAGTCCTAACCAGAATTCTATTTTCACACAGTTTGTCTGAAGGGTGGGACGGGACCGGGGGATGAGAAGTAAAAATTCTATAGCTGATGACCCAGGGACCAATCTATACTTCCATAGAAAACATGGAGAACCAATTATTTCTGACTGTACCACTTCAGAATATGTTATGATTAATGGCAGAGGAGAAGAAGTAGACGTCAACTATTGTTTCCCAATTAAAGGAGGTCCTCATGAAATATTTTAGACTGTTGAAAGAACTATTTAAGCAGGAGTACATTTGCAGTATTAAGCTTTAAATAGGCAGTTTTCCCCACCTCAATCTTTTAAGTGGTACAGTCCCAGGAAAACTACGCCATGTCCTTTTTGTTTGTTTGTTTGAATGTATAGATTGGCTCAATGTCCTTAGAAGTCAGTTACAGTACATTTCTGGTGTATTGTGAATGCAAAAGAAAAAAAAAGAGCAATTTCTTAGTTTGGTACAACTGGGATTCTCTACTCATTCAGTGGCACATTACACACTTTCTGAAGAATCACTCTTCACGTGGGCTGGTGAAGGTCCCTCCCCCCGGAGATTCCTCAAATAGATTTTTAACTTTTGAGGCTCGGGGATGCGTCTCCGATTGAAGTCTGCTCTCGGATGAATCTGGGCGCAACGATCTGTCTGCAGGAGATGGAAGAGGCTGGCCATGTTTGGTCCAATTTTGGCCATCAAACTGTCTTTAATGGTCCCGACTGTTTCTTCCCCACACTCCAGCAAACTTCTCACAAGTTTGCTGTAATACCTGCATAAAGACAACATTAGTTAGTACTCCGTAAGATTGTCCCAGGCTCAACAGAGTTCATAGAATTCAGGACTGTTCAGAAGACAGTATGCAGGAAGTCTGTGGAGATTCTCAATCATCCAGGTCATGGTTGTCCCAGAGGTGCTTTTTCAAAAAGGCAACTGGGCTCCCCCCCCCACCTTTGAAGAAAAAGAACTGAAGAAGCTTCTTGACTGAGAAGCGAAACATTTCAAAGGGAAAAAAAACCCCCAAGAAAGGCCAAAATTGGGACAATATTCAGGACCAGCACTCGTTATGACCGGTCAGTAGCTTAATATTTAGAGATGGAGATGAAGGTGGTTATGTGGCTTAAGAACTGCTTAAGTTCTGACTGAATGGTGGAGAATGGAAGGATTTCTGCAGGAGGATTGCGAGGAATGTAAAGCCTTCCATTCTCCACTATTCAGTCAGAACTTCAGAAGCTGCTTGAATGAGAAACGAAATATATCTTCAAGCAAAGCAAGAAAGCCCAGTTGCCTTTGGAAAAAAAGCTCCTCCGGGTCTTCTCTTGGGACCTCCACATTTGTCCATTAAAAAGCACAAATAAATCACATCAAACTGCCCTGCTCGCTGGCAACGTATCAGTCAGGTCCATTAGCCAGGTCTCAGCGCCTCCTGAGGTAACCAATGACATCACTCTTTCAGCCATCTCGCCCTGAAAGCAGCTGGGCTGCCCCTTCTGTGACAAGCTGAGGCCTTTTTCCAGGGGTCTTCAAACTTGGCCCTGTGATGACGTGTGGACTTCAACTCCCAGAATTCCTCAGTCAGCCATTTTGATGAAACTGCGGGCTTGGATCCAGACCAGGGGTCTTCAAACTTGGCCCTTTGATGACTTGTGGACTTCAACTCCCAGAATTCCTCAGTCAGCCATGTTGATGAAACTGCGGGCTTGGATCCAGACCAGGGGCCTTCAAACTTGGCCCTTTTATGACTTGTGGACTTCAATTGTCAGAATTCCTCAGCCAGGCACGTGTGCCTGGCTGAGGAATTCTGGGAGTTGAAGTCCACAAGTCATCAAAGGGCCAAGTTTGAAGACCCCTGCCCTTTTCCCACCTAGCAACTGCCTGAAGTCACATCAGAATGACAGAGCAACACAATTGGAGGCTAATCTTATGCACTGTTCCCGTAGGTTTGCCTCAGAGGCCTTGGGAAGTCAGCTCCTCCAATGATCCAGACACTGGCGTCTTAAAAATCTGAAATATTTTTTCCAGCCCCATAATAACCGCTCCAGACATGCAAGTCATATTTTCATTTACAGAGAGGAAATTTGCACAAGCATGGGCTAAGAACCTGTTTGAGTGTCGCACATGTCAATTTTCGAAGACGGATGAGAAAAGGGAATAGTGGCGGGTTTAAATCCCATTAGATTCTCATCCACTGGGCTGTTTCATTTAGGGACTAGCAAAAGAAGCACCAGAGGCCTTCATATTAAATTGATCAAGTCAAGAATGCTCCCTCTGTCATTTTAACCTAAGGGCTGGCCGCTGGAGGTGAAGGCAACAAAAGACTTCCAGATTTTACTCATCCGGAGTCAATTAACTTGAAACGGCGTGGCGTTTAAGAGATGGAGCTAAAGCTTAGGAAATTGCTTGGCCCCAGCCACAAAATCTTCCTCTTTCAATTCCTCTGAAGTATAAAGGGAATGCAGGAGACCCAGTGTGTTGTAATCGTTAACGGTGGACCTACACTTCAAATCCATTCTTGGCCAGGGAAGCCCACGGAGTGCCATGGGGATAAAATGGAATTGAAATCTTGGAGAAAAGGAGATCTAAATTTAGATCACAACCGTAGGCAAATTCTCTGAGCGCTCAAGAGGGCTAAACAAATATGAAGGTTATGAAACACTGATAATAATTTATATCGTTTTCTTCTTCTTCTCTCATCCTGGGAAATGTGGAAGAAAAGAGAAGTGCCTGGCTGAGGAATTCTGGGAGTTGAAGTCCACAAGTCATAAAAGGGCCAAGTTTGAAGACCCCTGTTTTAGACATTGTTTGTAACCTCTGAACTGCTGAAAGCTATCTATGGATGACAGTGAAATATAAATGGAAAGAATGAATGAATGAACAAACCAATAGCCCACCCTTCACCATGGAAAATTACGGAAGGCCTTGGCCATTCACTCTCTCTTGGCTCAATTTACCTCACAGGGTTGGTGTTTGGAGGATAAAACAAAAGGAAATTCCCACACGGAGCCTTCAGCTCTTGGAGGAGAGGCAGGCTATTCTATTAAGCAAACTAATAAAGAAACAGCAAATATTCTTGCTATAAAAATAGTGCTATACCCTAAAATAGGCTTCATGCACTTTTAAAAATGGAATAAAACTCTTTAGCTCTCTACCCAAATTGAAAGAGAGAACATAGAACATATAGAACATGGGAGTCATAGGGCTGAAGGCCTTCTAGTCCAACACCCTGCTCAAGGCAGGAGACTTTATAACATCCCGGTCAAACAGTTGTCCAGTCTATTTTTGAATACCTCCAATGAAGTCTCCAGGAGACAAGCTATTCCAGGGGTAGGCAACCTTGGCTCTTTTATGAGTCGTGGACTTCAATTCCCAGAATTCCTGAGCCAGCCATGCTGCAGGAATTCTAGGAGTTGAAGTCCACGAGTCATAAAAGAGCCAAGGTTGCCTACCCCTGAGCTATTCCATTAACTGTTCTTACTACCATAAAAATGTCTTCTTACTTCTAGGTTGGCTCGCTCTTTAATAAGCTTCCACCCATTGCTTCTTGTCTGGTCCTCTGGTGTTTTGGAGAATAAGTCAATCCTCTCTGCTCTTTGACAGCCCCTCAAGTACTGGAAGACTGCTATCATGTCCCTCTCCCCAATTCTCCTCTATGATAGGTTAAACATAGCTAGCTCCCTCAACCGTTCATCGTACAATAAATGGCAATAAAGCTGAAAATCCTTGTCCATAAGTGGGATTCAGTTCTTCTCCATCAATAGTTCTGAATCGTTCACTTTTAGTTTCAGCCTCTCTAAATGCTGTCAGCTCCAATACTTTTCCCGACGGAGACATGAAGGGACACGGAGAATCCAGAATCTGATTTTTTCCTTCCCTCGGGGATGAATGAAAAATCCTTTTGCTTCGCTGCAGATTTTACTCAGTTCAAATTTCCTGAATAGTCTGACCTCATACAGAAGACCATTTCCTATATTATCTAGCGTACGCTTCTTTACGGGAACCTCGTCCTGGCTGTAGGATTTAAATTCAGACAAAGTCACCGTCCAGACCAAGTGTGAAGATTATCTTTTTTTAAAAAAATCTGTCTTGAGAATGGCAGTATTTTAGGATAAATGTCAATATAGAAAACTTAAACTTTGCTTCCTGTATCACAAATGTCTCCTCAGGCTAAACCACAGGAAGATGTGCTGACTTTTTAATGACTTCCTGCTCGACTCTATCACCAACTTAGCCATTCTTAGTATCTTTGGAAGGGGTGTGGGAAGTGTCAACTTACTTACTAGGAAATCCTGTTGGGTTTATTTCTAGCTGCAGTATTAGCCTTTTATTTCAGTCACTCAAAAAATAAATAAATAACAACAACAAAACCCCATCACGTTTTAAGAACACGCTGTGACTGTGTGGCGGCCCATTCTTTCAATAATGTTTTCAGGAAAGCTAGAATGTGTCCAATGCTTGTGTTTTGTTTTGTGGTACACAGCAGTCACAATATTTTAATAGACCACTCATATGGGGTCATAAAAGTCATGTCTGCAGTCACGTGACTGAGGTCTTGCTTCTTTTTTGTATGCAGTGGACACTCCTGCCATCCTCTTAACCTTCCCATCCCTACTACTCATTCAGCCAGCCCAAAACTGTCTTAGTCTCCTACCCCTCTGTTAAGTCAGGACCGACAAACCAAGATTTCCCAGCCAATGGAGCTGCTACACATTGCCCGGAGGTTCTTTCTCTGGGGGTTCACACTGCAGCCTTTTTCAATTTGGCTGAGATTAAACCCAGCCCTAAATTTCACCTCCTCCTTCTGGGAGGAGGGGGCTCCGTGGTATCCGAAGCAGAGCATCCAGATTCAGTCACAGCTTTGTTCCATACAGTATTTAACCTTGGGAACTCTCAAGCTTCCTCCTCCCGTTATGTATTCAAGATGGACAGTGAATAATATTTATATGTTACTTATATGTAAGGGTGTAGGTCTATACATATGTCGTGTATAGTATGTTTTAAGTGTGTTATGTGTGTACACTTTGAGAGGAAGCAACTAAATTTCATTTTTAGTGTATGCCATTGTGCCCACAGGAAAAAAATGACAATAAAGGTTATCTATCTATCTATCTATCTATCTATCTATCTATCTATCTATCTATCTATCTATCTATCTATCTATCTATCTATCTATCTATCTATCTATCTATCTATCATCTACCTACCTACCTACCTACCTACCTACCAACCACTCAGCTCTCTTTGTTTCTTTCTAAGGTTACAATTTAAAGGGAGACAGAGAGAGATACAACTCTCTTGTTCTATGATGCTTTGAGAATCCCCAAGTAATTCTCTGAGGATGTAGGCTGCTGTAAAGAGCTGTAATCTTGAGGTACAATGAACCCCCAACTTGCTACACTCTGCACACAATGCTTAATCCCGCTAATAGCACCTGTGGCTATCTTCATAGCTCCCCATGGATGGATTCATTGAGTGAAAGAGGAATAGCACTTGGCAAATACACAGAGCTGCCTTCTCTTTGACCACCAAGTGACAAAAGAGTCAGGAAAAGCAGGATATATATTTAAATACACTAGAACAGGGGTGGGAAACCTTGGCTCTTTTATGACTTGTGGACTTCAACTCCCAGAATTCCTGAGCCAGCCATGCTGAGGGGAAAGAGAGAGGTTTCCAAGCTGAGCCATGCTAGCTCAGGAATTCTGGGAGTTGAAGTCCACAAGTCATAAAAGAGCCAAGGTTCCCCACCCCTGCACTAGAATAAACAAACCCAGACTATATTAACTTGTAGAGATGCCCTGCTTCTCGTCAAGGAACCAGTTTGGTCTAATGGAGAGTTAGAAAAGGGGAGTTCAAGTCCCGCCTTAGTCATGAAAGCCAGCTGGGTGATTTTGGGCCAGTCCCCTCTCTCGGCCCAACCCACGTCCCAGGTTTGTTGATGTGGGGGAAGCAGGAAGAGGAAGTTATGTTGGATATGTTTGCCACTTTGAGTTATTTGTAAAAATAATAAAGGCGGGATACAAACAAACCAAAAATAGAATCTTGTTGGCCAAGGACTTGAACATCCCTCGGTCAAAGTCCAACCTGGGTCATTTAAAGGAGTATCAGACCTACCTGTTTGAGAATTGGTTTGGGAGTTGGACCACTTCTGTGATGGCTTCTGGGTTCATTTTTGCAATGCCACAGATGTCCAGCTTGCTATAACATTCTTCCTGCACTTCCGAAATCATACGCTGGAATGTGGAACACCGTCGAATGGCTAGGAACACCTTGGATGTGATGCCGTTGGCAATGCATTTCAGACTCTCCTTTACAAAGGCCTTCCCCTGCCACAAGGAACATGTAAGGAACTAGGTTAAAACCCCTGGGACAGCAACTGAGCACTGGTGATGTCACCTAGTTTGGGTAATGAAACGTCTGCAGGAAAACAATCAAGTTCAGAGAGCATCAAGGACCTCTGGCATCAATTTTTTGACATGAGTTTCAAACTCCCACTATTATTCCTCAGAGTTGTCCCTGAATTGTTCCTAAGGACAACTGGAAAATAGTTGGACCTCAGGAAAATGTACTGCCTCTAAGAGTTGTTCAACAATGGAGAAGACAGAATCGGGAGCTTCCCCTTTTGCTGAAAAGTGATGATCAGTCAGGAATGCCTGCAGGCAGGAATCTTAATCATGATTCCCAAAGACCCTTTCAAGGCTTATATTCTATATACTGTTTAGAGTAACAGTGCATAAAACTGATTTAAATTATAAAAGCACACCAGGCTTACAACAATACGAGGCCATCTTCACGTTGTATTTATAAAATATATTATCCCTTTTTTATTATATTAATAATAAACCCAAAGCAGAAGTCAGTGATGGATCTTCTTATGGGAAAAGCTTGATTTATGCATACCATTGTCACAAGGACCTATCGGTGCAAGGAGCTTCCTGTGAGTAGGAAACATCAAGCAACAGAACGAACTCATCTAGACTTCTTCTATATATATATGATGCTTCCCAGATGAATGAAGGCAAATATACATGTCCCAGGATAATGTTGCAGGATCCAATCTGAGTTGGTCACCAGGACAAGAGATTTAGTCTTTCAAGCTTTGGGATTCGTGCTGGAGCCCATCTTCCAGAACTTGTCTATGTGCGCATGCATGCTCACACACACACACACACACACGTTGCCTGAAGATGGGCTCCAGTATGAGTCTGAAAGCTCAGAATATTAAATCTTCCCAGATGATTTGGACTTACAACAACCACACTTCCAAGCTGGCAAGACACTGACTGAAGTATGAGAATTCAATGGATCTGGAAGACACCAGGTTTGGGAAAGCTAGTTTAGGAGCTGTCAAATGCAAGGGGCCAACTTTGCGTTTCCCAGTAGCTTCACCATTTGCAAGTCTAGTCCTCTGTGTCAGAGGCAGGCAGACAAGGAGACTTCATCTAGTAAAGACCTCTAGATAGTTTGTTGAAGTTCAGCAAGATCTGATAATAGGAGGACAACAGAAACTCTGAGCTCACTTTCAATGATTTGTGAAAGACCAACCATTATTTCATTGTCTACTTTCATTGTTCCTCATTTCCAAAATAGGCATATTTGGATAGGCTGGATTCCCTTCAGCTAGAAGCCAGAGTTTATTAATCATGATGGTTAACCAAAATCAGATAAGCTGTGCTTAACAAAATGCATGAAAGTAACAGTAGCAAATATGTTTGCTACAGCTATTACTCAAACAGGGAATGAAGAAACCGTGGTTTCAAGTCAAGTTGTACCAAATATCTCATGTCTATTTTAGTATCAGAAAGTCCTATGTTGAGGAATGACAATGATTCTGACGGCTGGTGTGTTAATGTAATATTTTTCATTAACATCAATTGTTTGCAGCCGCCCACACCTCAAGCCACAAGGGAAGGAACCTCAGATCAGTTCCAAAATCAGGAGCAGTCGGGGACCCTGCAGAGAGAGGGAGAAGAGGGATGTGCACCACAAACACCCCTCCCTTTGCCATCTCACAACCCTAAAACAAGCTGAAACCCCCGCCCCCAACAAATTCTGAAGACTCTGAGAATGAAGTAGAAAAATGAAAGCCCCTTCAGCAGAATGGAATGGACATTGCTGAAATTCTCCATGCTTCCTAATGGCATTCAAGAGCTTCTTCCAAACTCGAGCTGCAGGAAGAATCTAAGGAGTGTCTAGATTAGTCAAAAGGAATGCAATAAAGAGTGATAGTTTGGAAATCTTTCTTCACTGCAATGTCCGGCCTGCTTCTCAACAAAAGGCTGTTATTCCCACAGCCAACGGATCAGTGGCCCAGTTTTCCAATAGCAGAGCAAACATGTACGTGTGGCAATAAGGAAGTTGAAAACAGCTCCCAGGTCTTTTATAGTGCTGCAGGTTCTACAAGGGACATCGGATCAATGTACATTCTCCCTCTGCTAGGTTTCTAGGGAGTTTATGTGAACCATCTTCTCCAGGATTAAGATTAATAGGAACATTTTGTACTGCTGCAATGATATTAAGGAAGAACAGTTTATAGAATATGAAATAGAATAGAATAGAATAGAATAATGAACAGAATAGAATAGAACAGAATGCAGAATAGAATAGAATGCAGAATAGAATAGAATAGAATAGAATGCAGAATAGAATAGAATAGAATAGAATAGAATAACTATTGTCACTTTAAATGTACACACAAATCGGCATACATTAAAATGAAATTTCATTGCATACAGCTCTCAAAGGGTCACCACCTCCAATATACACTACATAAATATGACAAAAAGAAAGAATTTTGCATATACCCACATATATTCTATGACACAGAAAAACAACACAGTTGGGTTTGGATGTATACATCTACACGATGAGAAAAACGAATCTTGCAAGTTTACCAGATGGATGGCATAAGGAACAAACCTATTACAGAATCTGGTAGTCCTGCTGGAAATACTTTGAAACCCCCTCTCAGAGGGGTGCAACAGAAACAGATGAGCCCACAACCTCCATAGATAAGACTATTCTATCACTGTCTAGTTCTTATCAGAAATGGTTTATGACCATGTTTTCTGTAGCTTCCTTCCATGGATAAGGGATGATTCAGAGTCATTCTGAATACCACTAACCCATGGGTGTTCAAACTTGGCCCTTTTATGACTTGTGGACTTCAACTCCCGTGTCTGGCTGAGGAATTCTGGGAGTTGAAGTCCACAAGTCATAAAAGGGCCAGGTTTGAAGACCCCTGCACTAACCTAACAATCTTGCTTGGAGACCATGGAGACCTTGGGTTGCCTGACCTATAACCAAAGAAGTTTTCACATCTGACCAAGCCACAAGGAGATAGGATCTGTTTCACCCCACATCACCATTAATTTGCATTCCTAAACCCTTCCATCAGCCCCATTTGCTGCAGCTATCAAAACCAACTAAAAGGGAAAGACAGCTAAAAAGAGAATTATTCTTGGGTGTGAAAATGGTCCCACATTAATAACGTTGCTTCATTTCCCCCCCCCCCCCAAGGTCTTACTATGGAAAGGGAAATATTGTCAGACGACTTAATATAGCCCTTAAAACATCATCTTCTGCTCTGAATTTTGATCACACAGCCCTCAGATATATTAACTAGAGGTCTGCAAAACATCCCGAGTTGCTTTAACACCAGAAGGAGCTGTTGTAACCATGGAAATGTCCGCCCCAACGGTGCTTTTTCAAAAGGCAACTGGACTTTCTTGTTTTGCTTGAAGACCCAAGAAGTTTCTTCAGCTCTGAATGGATGGTGGAGAGTGGAAGGATCTAATGAAGAAGCTTCTTCAGCTTTGAATGGATGGTGGGGAGTGGAAGGATCTAATGAAGAAGCTTCTTCAGCTCTGACTAGATGGTGGGGAGTGGAAGGATCTAGTGAAAAAGCTTCTTGGATAAGAAGCGAAATGTCTTCAAAGAAAAACAAGAGTTGAGTTGCCTCCTAAAAAAGCACCCTTGGGACAACCATGATCTGGATGACTGAGGATCTCCGTAGACATGGAAGTGTCTGTTTTGAATGGCTCAGACATGGTTTAGCAAAGTTCTTGTGATTGCTTTATCACTCTCACGAGTTTAAACCAAGTAAAAAACCATATTTTGTGTCTCTATTATTTGACCCTTTTCTTAGGTCAACATTTCCATTCAAGTAAACCTCTAGAACAGGGGTGTCAAACTGCCGTCCCGCGGGCTGGTTGCATCATGTGGAGGCCGCGCCCACCCAATGCAAAAAAAAGTCGTGATACATCGCAACACGTCACGTGACGCGGCGAGTTTGACACCCGTGCTCTAGAATATCTAGTATCATGTGGAAATGGCAATATTCGTTTCCTTTCCTGTTTTTCAAGATTGTGATACTACTGGCTGTCTGTGACGAATAATAAGGTATCAAGTTTTGATGTTTCAACAGGTTGTTTGGATTATCAACAAAACAAAATAAATAAAGCCAACACGGGATGCAATAATGTCATATAAAACCCGTTTTAACTTTTAAAAAAAATACAGTCCAAAAAAACCCAGACAAGTATGGATAAAATAACACCCTATAGATAATATGCACTTAATTCTTTACTTTTTCTCCAAAGCATAGGGTGTACATTAGGCGTTAGGATGCTAAGTGTCACTGGGTGTTGAATACCATCTACAAAATACTTTTGAGTTTTCCCTAATTTTGGGGAAAATTGATTTCAGTGGTTTTCTATGTCGGTTGGGTAAGCATCAAGTGAAAAGGAAAGGGATTTTTAGGACAGCCACTTTGTTGTAGTGTGTAAAGGCACTGGGCTAGAAATGAGGAGGCAGAGTTTTAATCCTGCTTTGGGCCTGAGGCCAGTCGGGTGACTTCAGGCCAGTCGTTCTATCTCAACCCTGGGGGGCTTTTACATTTGATTTTATATATTCTGTTCAACTTATTCCTTTTATGTTCTCTGATAAGAGTGTCGCGCATTTCTGAAATTGCTCACTTATCCCTGTTAGAGAATGAATTTCGCCCAATTTCCAATTTAGTCCTGGCTCCAATTCCTTTTATTCTAATGGCTAGAACTGCAGTAAAAAGGAGAAAGTGATGTATTTGAAACCGTGAATGAGCCACGTATCTCAAACTTATTTTCGAGTTGGTTTCCCGTTTTTTGGAGTCTTGCGAAGATATAGCTCTTTTAAATATGAAAGTCCTTTCATTTCTCAACCCCCCCACCCCCCGGCTGTCAAATTTCATTTTCAGAATAAAAGTCAAGATGAAAAATAAAGAGTCGAATAGGTGATGGGTATGAAATTAATTTAAGGGCTCTCATCCTTTTCAAATGTTGAGAAGGTTTGGAAGAAAGGGTCACTAAAATCTAGTTACCTCTACATCATGTGGGCTCCCAACATTTGAATTCTAGATATAGCAATGGCCATAGCAACTTCTCAGTCACAGATGTGTAGTAGACCTGCAGCCAAACTCAAAATCTTTTACAGGTAATCCTCAACCTACCCACCATTTGTTTAATGATCAAAGTTATGAAAAAAGTGACTTTTAAACAGTTCTTGCACTTAGAAAGAATACAGAGAAGAGCAACAAAGATGATTAGGGGACTGGAGGCTAAAACATATAAGGAACGGTTGCTGGAATTGGGTATGTCGGGTTTAATGAAGAGAAGGACGAGGGGGGACATGATAGCAGCGTTCCAATATCTCAGGGGCTGCCCCAAAGAAGAGGGAGTCAAGCTATTCTCCAAAGCGCCTGAAGGCAGGACAAGAAGCAGCGGATGGAAACTAATCAAGGAGAGAAGCAACCTAGAACTAAGGAGAAACTTCCTGACAGTTAGAACAATTAACCAGTGGAACAACCTGCCTCCAGAAGCGGTGAATGCTCCAACACTGGAAGTTTTTAAGAAGAGACTGGACAGCCATTTGTCCGAAACGGTGTAGGGTTTCCCACCTGAGCAGGAGGTTGGAGTAGATGATCTCCAAGGTCCTTTCCAACTTTATCATCATCATCATCATCATCATCATCATCATCATCATCATCATCATCATCATCATCATCATCATCATCTCGGAATCCCAGCAGTCACATGATCAAAATTCACGTATTTACAATGGTTGGAAGGTCACCCTTTGTGACTTTCCTAGCTAGCTTCCAAGAAGCAAAATCAATGAGGAAAGATGGTTCCACTTAACAACTGAATGTTTCACTTAACCACAAACACACAGCTAAAAAGATTGTAAAATTGGGTCTGACTGACTGGACAACTGTTTCACTTAGCAGTGGACATTTTGGCTTGGTCCCAATGCTGGTTGTAAGTTGAGGACTGCATATACATTAAGTAGGATTTTACTCATTTGCTGCTGCTCCTCAGATTTTTTTTTTCACATCTAAATCTTTCCCGGTCCCGAGAAGAGATGCTAGGGATGAAGTTTAAGGTCTTTTGCATACAAAACAGCTGCCCTATTTTATATGCAATTGAATTTCATACATTCACGAGCCAAAGCTCTTTCCTGACCTATCAGAAAGCCTTGCTGCTCATAAAAAAGGATATTCAAATCTGTGCCATACCTGAGTGTCAAATTTAGCAGCGCTGTAGAGGAAAGATTTGCAGATGTCATACATGCCGCCGGTGTCACACGTAGAGTTTTCCAGACAGGCAAAAGCCCCACATCCCACTTGGAGGGCACTATTCAGGCATCGAACCACATCCGCTGCAAAGAGAAGGGTGGGCAAGAAACAGAAAACAACTTAGTCTGAGCTTCTATCACACTTGGTTCAACCAGAGCAGTTTTGAGCTCAGATGGTAGTTGGTTATCTGCCACATTTGCTGAGTCACGTTTTACTTCCAGATAGCTCTCCTCGACACATCACCCTTAGTAAGGGATTCATTGCATTTTTAGTCACAATACTCAACTTTCAGGGTCTCAGCGAGTCCAATTGCTGCCCTGGAAGATTTTGTTTCAAGAAAAAATGGTCTCCTATTACTGTAGAAATTGGGAGTAGTTTTGAGAATCAACCATGCTCTAAGACTACAAGGGACAGGCACTTTCTGACACCACTGCTGCATGGCCCTCCATGAACAATGTTCCTCTCCTCCGATTACAATACTAGTTTCTCATATATCTGCAGCCTGTGGGGGTGGGGCAAATTCATTTCCAATGGTTTGATGAAGAAAATGCCTTCATTCTCCACCCATCAGGACCCAACTCTGATGCATCAGAAGATAGAAATTCTGGGCAGAAACCAAGCCCAGGTGAGCATCAGAACTGCATGTTATCCTCCAAATCGAACAGCTATTTTGCAATCTACCAAACTGGTGCAATTCTATCAGACCATAACCAACCTTCTGTACAGCATCTCAATACACCTACCCACTTAGAGAGTTGATATTTAGTTGAGATATTTTTATATTACTTCTCCGAAGGAATTATTTCTCTCAAGCCTCTTTACAAATTCAGTACAATTTGATTCAGGGCAATTAGACCATAACACAAGTAATTTCAAACCTAATTCAGAATCCCAGCAAGCTACAAAAGCCGCATCAAATATATATGAATCATTGAAATATCTGCTTAAGGCAATTACTCCAAAGGAAGAAAAGGGCCAAGATGGATGGGAAATTATGGGAATTCTAGTCCAATAAATCTGAAGTCCGCAAGCTATAGTTGACTGAGGCAAGCTGGAAAGATATTTCCTTATGGGGTTCCATAGTCACCAGCCAAAATGGCTTTATTGTCTATGTTGGCTAACCATAAGATAATAAACATACCACCTCTTTAATAATGTTGACCAATTTTATGACGGGGCACTTTTGAAAATGCCCACACTGGATTGTGAATATGGAATGGGAACATAGCAGAGGCAAAGTAACTTTACTTTTATTGTTTGATTGATAACAATCCAACATATGACCTCAGGTCTCCCCCCTCCTCCCTCCCCCAGCCCTCGGTATGCAAAAATTCTTATGAATTGAAGCTACTATCCTGTATGGACTGTGGAATCAACATTTTTTATAGTTCTGCTCCATTATTCCAAAAGACACTCTATGGAGGCCATCTATGAGCATGTGTGTCCTTAACTTTTGGACCCAATTAGAAGAAATACATTAAAAAACCATCACCAAAGATGACTTCAGAAAGTCCATAAAAGTGAAGTACAGATGGAAGATTTTGTATAAACACAATGCAATGTCATGGTTAAAATGTTGCACTAGGCCAGGGGTCTTCAAACTTGGCCCTTTGATGACTTGTGGACTTCAACTCCCAGAATTCCTCAGCCAGGCACGCGTGCCTGGCTGAGGAATTCTGGGAGTTGAAGTCCACAAGTCATCAAAGGGCCAAGTTTGAGGACTCCTGCACTAGGCCCATGGACACCCCGATTTAAGCCTTTTCATGGTCATGAAGCTCAGTGAATGGACTTCAGGCAACCAAGATCTTTCAGTCCAAGTTGAAGGGATGTTGTAAAATTGAGGAAGGGGAAAAGATCAGGAACATCACGCCTTGAGCCAGAGCGAAGATATAAAAAAAATCCACATTATGGCAAATGAACATTAAGTAAACTTACAAAATGGCACTGAACAAGTGACTTATGATCATTGCGGCACCCCCAAGGTCACATGATCAAAATTCAAATTCAAAATTCAAACCAATATGTATGTATGATGGTTGCAGCATCCTGGAGTCATGTGATCACCATTTGTGACCGTCCTAGCCAGCTTCCGAGAAGCGGACTCAAAGGGGGAAGCGAGACTCTCTTAATGACTTTGTGATGCACGTAACTGCAGTGATTTGCTTAACAACCTTGGCAAAAAAAAAGGTCAAAAAATCAGGCGGGACTCACTTAACCACCTGGCTTTGCAGTGGAAATTCTGGTTCCAATCGTCATAAGCTGAGGACTATCTGTATGTAAAAAAATATTTTCTTCCAGCAGTTTTGCTAAACCGATACTAATATTTCCTTTTATTTTTTTTCCCCTCCAAGCTGAATTTGTATTTAGCTACATGCCACCTTTAAACCATATGCTTTATTTTCTACCCGATCATGTTGTAGGCATCAGGAACATACTGAAGTTTATTTTTATTTTTTTTAAGAAATGCTTTACTAAGGTACGTTGCAGGAGACCAAGGAATTTTGGGGGACAATAGCAGTAATTTTCAAAAAAATTAACCTTTGCTTGTATTCTAGTACCTTGTAAGTGGAGTCTTTAAAACAGAGGCATTCTCTTCCAATGCTATTAGATGTGCCAAGTGGGGAAAAAAAATCAAATCAGTAGGTACCCTGTGCATCTGCTTTCTCTTATGTTTCCATGGATTCAACTTAGAACTTTGCAATCTGCAGGTTTAATAAGCATTAGGGCTCCCATTGTTTTAGACACCCTGGAAGAACTGAGACCCTAGGTTTCTATAGTAACCAAGTACAAAAGGAAATTGAGCAAATACTCCAGCATCAATGCTGCAGAGCCCTGCAGATCTGAAATAAAAACCAGTCCCCTGACAAGTGTCAGATTAGGGGAGTGTAGTTGCCTTGACTGAAAATTAAGATGCAAGCGATACCTTGCGATACTGGAAGCTGGAGATCCTCCCAGTATATAAGTCTTTCGTTTTTGTTTTTTTTTAAAAAGAGCTCTTTGAGGGCAGTAGGATATATGCCCATATGGAAAACTCAAGCTATGCGCGTCGGGCTGTGCAATGCAAAAAAAAATAAATGTGCTGAAATGGCTCCAAAAAGAAAAGTGAAAAGTTAGACATCTCCTGGAACCGGCATCCATGCTCCTACTTAAGCATGGATGCCGGTTCCTTCCTTCCTTCCTTCCTTCCTTCCTTCCTTCCTTCCTTCCTTCCTTCCTTCCTTCCTTCCTTCCTTCCTTCCTTCCTTCCTTCCTTCCTTCCTTCCTTCCTTCCTTCCTTCCTTCCTTCCTTCCTTTTTTTTTTAAGGGCACGTTTTTCCCAGACCTGCTATTTTCTGTCTTTGGAGAAGCCAACTAATAGAATACTGGGGTTCTTAAAAATGAATTTGCAAATAAGGAGTGGCGGAAACCTGCTTCGGTTGAACTTCTGCAAAGGGCAGGGCTTAAGAGGGAATGGCCACAGGATAAGGTGCAGAGAGAATCCTACTCCAAAGGATCCGGGATCTCGAGTCAGGCTGTCACTGGCCAAGGATGGCATTCTCAGTAGGATGGCGCGATAAGGCTGGGGTTTTGCGCGCCCCTTCCCCGAGAACCCCAGACTCCAAGGGATCGCTTGCCTGCACCCTGGCGTGCCCCAAGTAGCCAAGCCAACGAGCAGAGAGACCCAGACCCGGGAAAGTTTTCCTGCGCAAGCTCCTGCTTGCACCCGGCTTCTTGGATTTCAGAGAGGACACTTGCGCAGGAGAACTCCCCCTCCCCAGCCCACTCGGCTTCCCCTCTCCTTCTCCCCCTCCCCGCTCAAAGGCAAAGGGTCTGGAGAAGTTACCTGAGTTTTGGGTGGCCAGCCTGACCTTCCTGGGGCTGACGGAGGAGTCATTTTGCTCGACTTCATAGGATGCAGAAGCAGCAACCGCCAGCAGCAGGAGAAGCGTGGGCTTTTGGCGCATTCTCTTAAGTTTCCGCCAAGTTCGTGCGGCGTGCTCGCTCGACTCTCTCTCTCTCTCTCTCTCTCTTTCTCTCTTTCTCTCCCTCTTTCTCTCTGCCCACTTCTTCGGCTTGAGCAAAGACACGGATCTGGCTGTTGGAGGAAAAAGAGAGAAGGAGGAAGAGGAGGAGGAGGAGGAGGAGGAGAACTCGCCGGATCAGCTCAACTGAAAGAGAGCCCCCCTCCTCTTCTTTCTTCTTCTTCTTCTTCGGTTCTGGCTCCTACTCGCTGCAGGTGATCAACCTGGAGCTTTTATAGCTTCTCTTATCTCCCCCCCCACTCCTAAAAGCCCTTCCCCGACCAAGGACCAATCCTGGGACGCGGTGGGCGGCCAATGAGAAGCGATGCTCATTCAAGCACAGGACGCCTGGAAAGTTCATAGGAAGAATATTTTCCAACCAATTAAAAAAAAAGGATCTCCAAGCGGAATCGAAAAACCGCACAGAGCCACGGACGCAGGGACGCACACGCGTCTTCCTTTTCCTTAGTGGGGAAGCGAAGGTGAGAGCTGTACAGAGAAGAGCAACAAAGATGATCAGGGGACTGGAGGCCAAAGCATATAAGGAACGGCTGCTGGAATTGGGTATGTCTAGTTTAACGAAGAGAAGGACGAGGGGGGACAGGATAGCAGTCTTCCAGTATCTCAGGGGCTGCCCCAAAGAAGAGGGAGTCAAGCTATTCTCCAAAGCGCCTGAAGGCAGGACAAGAAGCAACGGATGGAAACTGATCAAGGAGAGAAGCAACCTAGAACTAAGGAGAAACTTCCTGACAGTTAGAACAATTAACCAGTGGAACAACCTGCCTCCAGAAGTGGTGAATGCTCCAACACTNTTATTATTATTATTATTATTATTATTATTATTATTATTATTATTATTATTATTATTATTATTATTATTATTATTATTATTATTATCTGTGCCGGTGGAGACTCCACGCCTGAGTTTCTGAGTAAATGTGGATTTGCTCCGACGCATCAGAAAACTGCGAGGAAAGGTGGACTCTTTTGTAAAGCGCATTTCCAAATACATGAAAACGGTAGAGGTTTAATAGACACTCCCTCCATAGTGTGATGAAATTAGGCAATTAAAGCAGTCGCATTAACAGGCACAGATGAGGGCAGCACATTATCAATCTTTAGGATCCCAGTGTTACCATGCAATTCCTTACATTCCCCACAAGCTATGTGTATATGTAGGTACGTGTACATGTGTGTTTGTGCATATATGTGTGTGTTAAATATCACTCCCACCTTGTTTCTAAGACGGAGAAGATATAGATAGATTTATAGATGTTGGAGTTGAGTGACAAGATTCTTATCATCAATAGTTGCCTTTGAGATGGGGCAGGTACCCCTCAAATGACGGCCTTGGTGCTCCCTGATCTTGGTTGTATTCTTGAAGATGGTTCATTACCCAAACTCGGTAACATCATCAGTGTTAGAGCAAATTCCCTTCCTTACTAGCCCTGTGATGTTATCTAATTTGGGCAAGGAAATGTCTACAAGAAAAAAAACCAAGTTCGGAGAACACTAAGGACCTCTCATTTCAACCCTGAGATGCAAATACTCCTGAGACTTTCATTTGGGAGACTGTAACTGGTAGATACTGTAGATGTCCAATATCTGATGGCTACTAAGTAATAGTGTGGTTGACACAGCCATGCCTTTTTAATGTTTGTATTGCAAGTCCTAGAATCACTGGCCATTGTCCATGTTGGCTGGGGTTGATGAGACTTGAGATCCAAACCACCAGGAAAGCATTGTGTTGATTTTTCTCCACTGTGGACAGTTCCCCATTGATATTCAACCCAAGAGGGCCATTCGTTTTCCTTAAATTATTTTTTCATATTGCAGTGATCTTCCAATCAACCTATGTATGTAAGTCTACAGCACTTGGAACCTAACAATGGAATGTGAGAACAGAATCCATTAAGATGCATTTTTTTTTCTAGAAGATATAGTAGGATCATTCTTTTTCTGATCACACCTCTCTAGTGACCTATGAACTGTGACTTGATTTTGCAGACATCAAGCGGAGGCAGGTACATATGAGGCAGTTTTGCATTTCTTCCTTGTTGTTGTTGCGAAGTCGTGTCTGACCCATCGCGACCCCATGGACAACATTCCTCCAGGCCTTCCTGTCCTCTACCATCTTCTGGAGTCCCTTTAAGCTCACGCCTACTGCTTCCGTGACTCCATCCAGCCACCTCATTCTCTGTCGTCCCCTTCTTCTCTTGCCCTCCATCTTTCCAGCATGAGGCTCCTTTCCAGTGAGTTCTTCCTTCTCATTAGGTGGCCAAAGTATTTGAGTTTCAACTTCAGGATCTGGCCTTCTAAAGAGCAGTCGGGGTTGATCTCCTCTAGGACTGACCGTTTGGATTGCCTTGCAGTCCAGGGGATTCGCAGGAGTCTTCTCCAGCACCAGAGTTCAAAGGCCTCAATTCTTTGTCACTCAGCCTTTCTTACGATCCAACTTTCACAGCCATACATTGCAACTGGGAAACCATGGCCTTGACTATACACACTTTTGTTGGCAGGCTGATGTCTCTGTTTCTTCCTACCAAAAGCTGATTCACATGTTGCAGCTCCTCTAGTTAGGCTGCCCTAAATATTTGTGTGTAGAAGCAGCTCAGTTCCACGGAGAAACCTCCCACCAACAATATGTACTGCTGGAAACTAAACCAGAAAACCAAGGAAAGGATTTTTGTTCAGGAGTGCATTACATGTAATGGGTGCAAAAAGTTCTGGACTCATTCTTTGATTAGGGCGATTGGAAAGAATCACTGTATGAAACCCTTAAAAGCTGCTCCAGGCAGTGCCAAGACAAATTAAGAAGAGAAGACATCAAAAGAATCTTCCTAGCTCAAGCTAAGAACTCAACTTAGCCCATAGTAGGCAATTTAGTAATAGACAATTAATCCAAAGTAGACATAGTAGACAATCATTAGACATTCAAGAAGCCCACAACGGTCAGCAAGATAAACAAGATTGTCTTTTTTGATATAAAGTAACTTTTCATTTATTAATGATAACCTTTCCCTGCCCATTATGCTCCATACATTTAGGACACAAAGGCTCATCATTCCTAGCCATTGCCTGAAGATGTTTGGTAGGAGGGGTAACTAAGGAGGAATAGGCAGGTTGGGGATGCTACATTAAACAAAGTTTATGTTCAGGTGGAAAGAAACACAATGCTTATCACTGCCCTTGTTCCTCTTTCACTCTTTCGCTCCAAAGATTTGTAGCAAATTTCATTTGTAGCAGCAGGCTTTCCTAAATCAAAAAATATGGATGTGCTATATCCAATATATGACTTGTATTCTTTATAACTGCAACATTCGTGTGATTGTTCCAAGCCAAGAGTGGAAAAGAAAGTCATAAATGGCTTGACTATACCTATATAATATGCTTTACCGTTCCTCCAAAAGACAATTATGTAAAGCAACGATCCCCTTTTATTGCATGGGTAGAATACAGCATTTAGGGGCAATGAACCAACTGTAGGGACAATGCAAGGCCAGTTGCTGATGGCTTCTTTCCTTGGAGCGAAAAAGGATGATCTCAAGAGACCTTGAGGTACACAATGTTCTGCAAAGCAGCATGGAAAGATTACTGCATTGGGCATGAAGAAGTCTGTATAAATCATCTGACAGATTAATAGCTGGTAAATTACAAACAAATAGACAATCAACCTCAATGAAGAGATAGGTGGGGCATCTCCACCACAGCTTTATAGAAATTCCAGGGTGGTGTCATGCAGTTAAGTGTTGCTGGTTTTCCTTGTAATGACAATTGCATAAATTATCTTGGTTCAATTTAGGAAAGGAAAAGGGAAATCCATGAGGAGCCTCTCCTCCCACCACAGTAGATGACCCTGATGAATAGTATCTTCCAAGATTGAACAGTAACATTTCCATTTTGTGACCAAAATCATATTCTGCTTCTACACTCGATTATCCTATAGATACATAGAGATAAAACTACGATAATCAACACTCAACATAATGCAATAAGAAACCCTACTGGAGAAATGATGAAAAAAGGACATTCTCATAGGCAGACCGGTCATCTCATCCCTAAATAAGTTCAGGAATGCTTTACTTTATTTATCTGAAGTTCAATGGAAGATTTAATAATCTAGTTTGCTTCTTAGGGCCATGGAAAAAGGGTACAAACGTCTATGGAGACTCTCAGTCATCCAGGTCATGGTTGTCCCAAAGGTGTTTTTTGAAAAGGCAACTAGACTTTGTTTTTCCTTAAAGATGTTTTGCTTCTCACCCAAAAAGCTTCTTCAGTTCAGAAGCAGCAGCTCCTTGGATGAGAAGTAAAACATCTTCAAGGAAAAACAAAGTCCAGTTGCCTTTTCAAAAAGCATCTTTAGGTACAAAGGTCACCTTTGGGTTCCATAGGATGACAATCCCTACCTTTTAGAGTAGTGGGTAACCATAGTTGTCCATTTGTAACCATCATGACACCAAATGACGAAAGGGTATTGCAGAGTCATCTAATGTCTACTCCTTTGTGGTGGCATCATGCTGTTCCCAACTAGATAACTAGGTTGAGTTTCTTTCTGAAATCATAAGACATATTTATCATTTACCGTCTCCTTGTTCCTCTTCTGCAGATGTCTACGGGGTGACACTAATTAAGAGACTTCTTGTAAAATTGCAAAAATTGAGTCCACTGTCTCTCTAATTCCATCTCTGATCTGTAGTCAAGCCATAGTTTCTTACGGGCCATTTTAATAAATAAAAAGAAATGAGATGAACAAATTAAAGCACAAAATTAGATACTTTAGAACAAAGAAACTAGCAAATTAATGTGGAGATTTCTCCCTCAATCTATTTATCGGAGCCATGGAGTTCTGGATGGATAATTTCCACATGCCATTAACAGCTGTGAAATTGGTGTCATTCTTAAAGGTTAAAATAAAAACCCAACTTCTCAGCTGAGCTGCCAAA